CGTTTCGCCCTACAAAGTCAATTAAAGAATGCTGGCAGATTTTCCTTATGCAGATTTCGCATGACGAAATTTCCGACGCGTGTCCACAGCTGATACGCGTCTTTGAAATGACAAAGATGAGGGAAACCGATCGATAAGAGAGCACGCGTTCGTGTGTGTATAAGACTGACTTTCCCTGACTTGAATCGTAATTACGTTAGCGTATCCTCACGCACATGGCACTTAACGGATGATGAATGTGTCATCGCTCGACGATCGCGGCGTAGAACGGAGATTTCACGTTTCTGAAGTAAGATTAACGACGCGTCTCTTATTCTCTCTATCGTTTCTTTATTTGCGCGCGTCTCTTTCCAAAGTGACGATCTCGTTTAAGGCTACGCTCGTACGTACAACACGTGTGAAATGAATTCGTCGATTTTCATTTAAGATGGATATCAAAAAGCTTCAGGCACATCCGGTGCGTAATGATATCTTGTTCGATTAAAAAAAACGACGATACGCGATCGCGCATCGTTTTGTGAAATTTTTCAACGACAACTCGTCAACGTATGTTTATCCTGCAATTTACTTATTTGCTCGGTTACAATGTACACACCGGAGCAAATTGAATGTCATCGAGCGTGGCGTGCGAGCAGCGACAAGATATTTTTACGCTCCGATTATTGCGCTAACAAAGTGCGCTTGTATCGCGCTTTTGCGCGAATCTCTGCAAGACGGAAGGTTAAAACTCTCGGAAGCGGTGCGTATTTTTAGGAAACACACGGAGGTCGCGGTCGCGGCGCGCTCGCGGTCCTTTCGAACGACGTTTTCCAAGAGCGGAGATTGAAAGAAACGAGATTCGCCTCTTCCCGTTCTCTCCCGAGGCGCGGTAATGCGCCGTTAGCGGTAATAGGATTGAGGTAATAAGCGATCGTTTTGGAGCGTGACCATCGCGCGTAGGAGTGTTTGTACATACGTACAACAACGTCGCAATGCATTACACGTTCCAGGCAAATGAAATCGCGCGTCACAAGCGCGATCGACGGGGAGCGCGAGATGCGGCGCCGGGAAACGCGAAATTCAACGTGTTCCGCCGTCGGCGCGAAAGTACGGATTATCATAAGTCGTCGACGATAAAGCGGGAAGTCATCGGCGCTGTAGATTTCCGGCGAGAGAAAGCAGACGGAGAAGACGGCCGGGGCGCGTTCTTGTTTTCGTGTGCGTCGAGTTCTCCTCGCGCGGCTACGATGTAACAACATAACGTCGATGTGATTGCGACGAGCGACAATTTTCTTCTCAAAATTTCGTTTGCACTCTTATCGCTTCGATACCTTGACCTGGGGTTTTCAATTTCGCAATTTTTCGGTAGATATTCCGCTAACGTCATTTGTTATGATATAATTCCGGGCGTATAAATCGCTCGATGACTAATGCGTCAATAAATTCGCAATATCGCAATATCAAGTAAAGAGTTTACATTCGGTCTATCTCGAAAGGAAGATATCTCAGTACTTACGCGCTCTGTTGAGGTGTCGTAAACGCGTGCGGGCTCTGCGAAGCCGTAAAAGCCGTAATCTGAAGAAGCACCGCGCGGTGTTGCGGGAATATAACTCGCCGCTAGTAAGCGGCATTCCCGACGCGTGCGATGAAAATCCAAGCGTCGCGGAAAAACGGACTCGTTAACACTTTTATCAGAAGAACAGACAGGTTTATTTTTTGTTATTTAGAGATAAATTGCACCGCGCGATCTCCATAGCGGTATATAATTGCGATTCATTAAGCGCTACGTGCGCGATATACGTACGAAGTTGATGAAACAGTCGCTGATGAACGCGTTAAGATGTCAGGAAGCGATTCTAAAGTTCGCGCGAATAAACGCGCGCGTCTGGCACTGTCATTCGCGTCTTTGGTATTATCGCCGTCGTTGATATCATCAAAAAGTCTTGCACTCCGCAATATTATTAACAGCTGCGGAAGATAATGACCGTGCTTAATGCGTTTTAACGGACTCGCGGCGAAACGAGTCGCGGTCGGCAAATAAAGAAAACGCGACTTGAACTTCTCGTTTTCTTTAGCTCGCAAACGCGATAAAGTATTCCTCTCTTCTCACCTAGCTGTTTTCCAAGAGTCAAGCGTGTAATGAAAATTCAGTTTTACAAATGTCGAGATTAATTTAATCTAAATGTCGAGATTAATCGAACTTTCAAAGTTTTTAGGCATTTAACTTTGAGTAGGTCAAGATTATAAAAGTATTTGTTCGCAGAGCTAGTTTTTGGATAAATATTATCAGAAACGAGCCTTGCGAACAAGTTTAATAAAGCGACGAGAAGAACAAAAAAGAATCGCAACATATGTATCAAGTAACATAACAAATATACATCTTGCCCGAAGGGGATAATGAGCTTCATAAAGGCAGGGCCGTTGCCCGACGCCTTAGAAATTCTTTAATGACTTCATGTCGCAGTGCGCGCACACCAAGATCTGTCATTTAAGCTTCGTTCTGCGACAGAGCCCGCCAGTCGTTCGTCAAAGTGTCGTGGGAAGGAGAGAGAGAAAGAGAGAAAGAGAGAAAGAGAGTCGTATAAAAGAGAACAGTAGAATAGGACAGTAGAATAGGACAATTAAAAAGGGTACTCTTTGGGGAAATTCTTGCGAACGATCGCAAGAACTAATTAATGAGAATTTTAAGAAGTTTTATAGTATTCAGAAATCCTGCATTTTTTATGATAATCAATTCTATGATGAAAGTTTTAATATCGAAGTCACATATGTGCGAAATGATTTATTATTGCAAGGTAAAAAAAAAAGATTTAACAAATTAAAAATAAACACTCTTGTTCATCGATCAAGTGTCTTTCTTTTTATAGAAATTTAACTCATGGTAATTAATATTAATGAAATATTTGATAATGAAAATTAAGATGTGCAAACAATTATGACTCATTATATATCCTGAAGCGAAACATCGGGACACAGAATTTTATTCGTACGTAGTTGAGAGAAAGCGTATTTGACGACATTGTGAGCGTTTTTCAACGTTTCAAATAGTCATAATACACATGTCACAGAACGTTTATTTCCACTTCTATTATTGGAGTGATAAACTGACTGCGAAGAATAATGAACGTACGTATAAACCCGAAGTAATTAGCTCTCTAAAGAAGCATACGTGTTAGCGTGAAATAATATACGCGGACTTGTTAAGCGTTAATAAAGCATAACACGCCTCGCTTTCTTAAACAGTGTTGATAAAAACACGAACGAATAGATTACAGTTATCGCTTATTTTGTAACTATATTTTTAAGAGGTAAAAATAGTGTGATAAAAGAACGAAGATTATGCGGTACACGTTATAAATGTGTTAAAAACGTATTGGACAAACATCATCTGATGAAATGTATATACGTTGCATATCAATTCACAAAGTTATACTTTTATCAATATAATTCTTCTGATGACTCACGTTGCAAATAACTTCATATCGTCGCCGCAATATACAGACAGATTAATTAATTATAGTATAATCCTATATATATTTATTATAATTAATTATAATACAATTTATATTTTTATATTATAATTAATTACAAAATATATAAGCGATAATAAATTAACTAATATATACACGCATATTATTTATAAGAGATAAACTCAATTATAGCACAATTCAGACTTGAAAAAACTTCAGAATATATAAGTACATCTATTTCTTAATAACGTAGTATAATAAATTTGAAGGATTTTGTGTAGAGAAGTTCAAAGTGTGTGTGTGTAAGAAAATAACAAGATTAGAGAAAAAAAGTGCACCTGTATCAACAAACAACAATGTTTTCATTCATGATTCTGTACAGTCTATATATTCTCCGTTTCTCTTCTCTTCGGTATTTATATTTCTTCAAATACAACCGACACAACCGTATCATTCCAACAATTTACATTAAGATACGTGAACGTTGAAAATATCGTTGAATATATTGTAAGATTTAAATACCTCAATTCTCCGAAATCAAAAGCCTACGGAGCTAAAATCGCACTTTTGTCCATAGAATCAGGACTCTGATAAAAAATCTCCCGCAGCCTCGCAACGTGTTTTCTCGTTATGCGACACAATTTATTCGAGACGTTATTTTTTTTTTTTTTCGAAAACGTTATCGTTATCCTAACGACTTTTGCTTATCATGTGTGTAAATTTAGCGCCTGAATGTCAATATAACGACTGTCAACGTCGTAAACAAAACGCTATCAGCGAATATCGCGGCCGTGAAATTGCGCTTACTTGATGAACATATCTCGTCGTCGTCGTCGTCGTCGTCGTCGTCTTTCTCTGTCTGCGTGGATTTCTTTTCGCCGCGCAATTACCGATTCGAAATTTCGATTTCTCTCACTCGACAATCGGACACAACGATCGACAACGAACCGTACACACCGATCATCCGATCACGACTGCAGCCCTTCGATGCCGGCGTTTTCAAGACAGCCAGACACGGAGAAGGGAGATATCATCGGCGGAATCTCTGGCCCCCCTACCACGTCGGCAAACGGAGCCGCTCTGACAGTCGCTATTGTACGCACGACGCTCGTATGGAAACGAGAAACGAGATAGGGTTGTTTTAACCCTTAAATGGAAAGATCACAATCTCTGAATAATAATAAATACATCTCTAATTCTCTAAAAGAAAATCTTTCTTTACTTGAAATTTATAATTTATCAATCTCTACTGTTCGATTTTAAAATTGTATGACAAAAAAAATATTTTTGCGATGAGATATGATAAAAATTAAATTAACTCGTAGCGGCGCTTGCAATTTAATATTCGATGTCGCTACGATCACCAGATCCTTCCTCATAAGTAGCACTTACGCAAGATGATATATATAAATGCATATAAAGTAACATATGTGACGAGCAATATAAAGTATAATATTTTATATAACACAAAATCGAATTGCGGATGTTCGCATCCACTTCGCACAAACCCTATAAAACCTCGGAAAAGATGTAAAATACTCGATTACTCACGCTACAACGAATTCCTCTTGAGGGGTGAGATGGCCCAGACTAACGACGCGTCGACAGTATCAGTCAGCATCGCGAATCCTCCGGGATTGCCCAATTTTCCCTCGTCGACTCGATCTCTCTCTCCCAATCTCTCACTCGTCGTCGCTGCTATCCTAAGCCGGCCACCCACCCCTTGATCGACAGGACACCACGTGCGTGTCGCGCGTCACTAGCTCGCGACATCCAACGCGGCCCGACAAATCGCATATACCGTTGAACGCTCGGTGTGCGCTTCGTGCGAAGCGCATCGAAGCACTGCGTGCGCACACACACAGAGAGCGCAGACGCACCCGGTGCGCGTGCACATTCCCTCTCTCGCCCCTCTTTCCTCCCGCGAGTTTCCGGCGCGCAACGGTGACCCCCACCGTGCCCATTCATCCCCATGCATTCACGGCGTGGATCGACGCCCCGCGGATCGTCCCAACACTCGCGAGGAGAGAGCCCCTCCCCGTTCGGCGCTCGAACCCCCTTAATCAATACTCGACGTCCTCCGCGCGCGCCGCGCGACCTCGAATATTCTCCTCCCGATCCTCCTCTCTGGACCGCGACTTTTGGCAAACAGAATTGCGGTTGAATAAAACAGCATGTATGCGCATAATAGGGAACTGTCGATGCAGCGCGAAAGACGATGCATGTGTGCGGTACGTAGCGTGGGTGAAAACTGAATAAAAGACAACTTCAGTAGCACTAGGGGACTCTTTTATGTAACAAGAGCGCGTCGCGAAAAAGCAACGCACGATATCGGCTTTCTATTTTCAAATCGGTCGATTGAACAAAATTATGCAAGAGAAGAGCCAATTGTAAAAAAAAAATGCAATTTCTTTCTTATTGTGAAAAAAAATATTTCTAAACAAAAAAAAATTACTGCAAATGTATAAAGAGAGAGAATAAAGGAACAAATTCCACGGTAGAAGTTAAAGACAATGGTAGATGTGAAAGACAATTTCATTTCCACGCATACAATGTTGGAAAAAATACACTTTATATCTACCTTTGCGCTGAAAAGTGGTTCTTTCGGCTAAAAGGAAATTGTTGGGATTACGTATCTCTGTATGTGTGTGTGAATCGAACCCTTTTCTATTACGAGAGAGTAGTACTGCGCCGGCGAAAGAAAAATGTTTGCGCAGGGAGCGTCGATTTCTCAAACGGTAGATGACGGCGCAACCTCAATTAAATGCCGGCACATTACGTGTCAAGCAAAATCAACAACTGTATCGATTCCCCAAGGAACACACGACTAGTCGCGTTATCTTGTCTCAGAAACGTTAATTAATTTAAAGTTTTGACGAATGTAGCAAAATAATTAAGAAAATGTAATTCAATTACGAAATTGCATATGCCGAGAAAGGAAGAAAGAAAAGAAGGAAGGAAGGAAGATGATACTCATCAGATATTTTTCTGACAGTTCTCTCATCTTGCAGCTCTAAGTAGCAAGCTGCGAGCGCGCAATATGAAAAAAAAACTCGTTGAAATATTCGGAACCGCGATACGCGATAATACCGATGCAAGTATTGCGTCAGGACAATTTCGACGGCGAAACGTTTCCCACGATTGACCGGAGTATAATCTAAAATCGATAGTCACCACAGGCTAATGCCTGCTGATTGCGTGCTAGCTCCATTACCGACACTACCACTTCGTTTTATATCGAATCCTATTCCGATGTCTATGAACATATACCCCGAGAGTTGTAAAACGTGCCCACAGTGCGCCGCGCCCACACGTGCTCGTTTATGAGCGCTAAAGAAAGCTGCTGCACACAGAAACGTCAATGGACGAAAGATCACGCGGGTGAAGGGTCTCTAAGATTAAATATCTTATTAGACGTAGCTTGTCTTTTGCACGTATGCCAATAGAGTGGTAGAGATTCTTGCACAATACACGCAATTATATATATGAACATTGTAAGAAATTACATCGCGATTGTTTCGAGTCTTTCAATCAACCAGACAATTGTCACAATAAAGATAATCATATGCCGTGGAGAAAAAGTTGTTTGAAAAATAATTTTATGAAATACGTATTGTGCGATTTCGGACACGCGATTTGAATATGTATCTTTCTCACGTCAAAATTATTTAATATGACACAGAGATAGAAAAAGAGAGAAATTGTAAATAATACAAAATATATATATGTATATTAAATATATTTAGGCCCGCGTATATATATATATATATATATATATATTCAGTGAAATTGAATTTTATTATTATTTATTTACTTATATTATTTCACTATTATTTTATTAAGTTTTATGCAAGAAAATATTGAAGCTTATATTTTATAAATAATACCTTGCCTATATAGGTTAAAATGAGAAACGAAACGCTCCCCCGGCGTTTCCCGTTTCCTCCCTAAACCTTTCCTCTTTTTGTTCGAAAGATGACTTTGCTTATCATAAATGCAATATTAAACTCTTACGGTGACGCAAAAACATTGCTCTCTTCTTTTTTTCTGCAAATATGACGTGATAACTTGGAAAGCAATTGCTGCAGATTCGCCCGTTTTATAGATTTTTCCGTTTACACACACACACACGTACACACAAAGATGAGTTTCCACTTTTCAATTGTCTCATACGCGGTCGTTAGAGCGTCGTTCGTGAAACTGAAAGTAGATCACAGTTATAATACTCGCACATACATTTTTTCTCCGCTCTACGAGATTATATCTATATATGCTACATATGCTATACATTACGCATTTTAATATCTTTTAGACTAACGTCTAAGTAAATTATAAAATTGCTGAAACGAACTTGGAATATAAAAAAAATGCAACTGTCTCCGCGAAAAGACTACACAACGAAAAAAGGTACACTGAGATACAAATACATGAACATTAAATACGGAATGTACAGTTACTACATTCTGTGCAACATAAACGCCTTTTTCCGCTGAAACAAAACGTTTCCTCTGTAATCACACGTAATAGCATACATGTGTATATGAAACATACCTATGTATTTTCTCTCTCTCTTTTTTTTCTCTCTCTCTTTCTCTCGATATTCACAATTGAACTATAAAAAAAATACGAAATAGCTTGATATAGAGATTTTGTTCTGACAACATGCAACATTTACTTGTGAATTTGTAGACATAAAAAACATATTATTAGTACATTTCATTTCGAACGAATATTGTGTGTTTCTTTTCTGGGGTTTTAAGAAATGCAAATTTATGTAATAAAATTCCTCATCGAAGATGAATAAGGAACTGGTACCAGGAGCTGCCGGTTAGCGTGCCTGAGAGATTCGGTCCTAAGCTCCGCCATGCACAGATTATTACAGCTTTTATTGATTCCACCTATTTTTGACATCTTGTACCTAAAAGCTCGATGGATTAATCAAAATATTTCAATCTGTGCGCGATAGTTGCTTGTCATCAGAAATATCTCTCATAATTGTTTATATATGATTAGTGGAGAGATATGTTTATGTGCAAGTTATCTTTAAAGTTACTAGCACAACACAGGCGCGCTACGCGCACGCTATTATCATTTTTATTTTAACGTGTTGTGTCAGTGAACACAACCTGTCACCGCGATGACAGCTAGTATATACGTTTCACAAACCATATAAAAGATCAGTGACCTTTAACGAAAGGTCGACGACCTTTAACAAAAGGTCAATGAACCTTTTCACGTGTCTTTAAAAACGTGACTAAAGTAAGATCACGTGACACGGAAGAGAGAAGAAACAATACGTGACTAAAGTTATGTGACTTTACTTTAGTCGCGTGTCTTTAAAAAAGAATTTTGCTCAGATGTTAAAAAATACGTGGAACAAATTGATGAACAAACCTACAATAACTTTTCGTACTGTCTGTACGTACTTGCGTGAAGTTGCAACGATAATGACTTGACTGAACAACACTTAGCCGGATTTACAATGGTCGCAAGCTTCAATCACAGACAAATCACAGAAGAATAATCAATTGTGATTGGTCAATTTCTTACGACTTAGGCTGGATCCTCATGCAGACACCGGCGCTTTAACACCAATCAACGCTCAGTGTCAAAGCGCCAGTGTCTGCATGAGGATCCAGCCTTACAGCTTACGACTGTACTGTAGAACAAACCCTAAATGCACCCAACCAAACCAAGAACAGATAACAAAGCAAGTTTGGCGGGAAATCAGGATTTTTATTCATATCTTTAGCTTATACGTTTAGGTTAGAATTCATTGAAAGATCACATAATTGTATATATAGGAAGAGTATTTGAACATAAGGTTATATAAAAAAAATATATATATATATTTATGAGAGTGGATTAGTTGCAATTGATATCTTGAATTGTGTGTCTAGTGAAGTGTAATAGAGATTTAATTAATAATGGCGGAAAATTTGTGCAAACGGTATATAATGAGTTTTTTATTGTATAGAAAAATGTTTTTGTGTAATACTGAGATATGTGCAAGCTCTTGATAAATTGGTAATCATAATTTAATAACTGACAAACAGAAACGTTACTTCTAAAAGAACATCGTACATCGATTGGGACGAGTATTTCATGGCAATAGCATTCCTTTCGGCGAAACGAAGTAAGGATCCCGTTACCCAAGTCGGTGCGTGTATTGTCAATGATGATAAGAGAATCGTCGGTATCGGTTACAATGGCATGCCCATGGGATGCGACGATGATGAATTTCCATGGAACAGTGGTCCTCGTACTAGTTTAGACACAAAATATCTTTACGGTAAAATAAACAAATGCAATTCTTTCACAACGTACAAATATAAGAGTGAGAGATGCGTAAAGAGAGCGTTATTTTAATAATTTGCAGTATGCCACGCTGAACTTAATGCTGTTCTAAACAAAAATGCAAGTGATGTAAAAAATTGCACAATATATGTTGCTTTGTTCCCCTGCAACGATTGTGCAAAAGTAATAATACAGTCTAAGATAAAGAGAGTAATATATATGTCAGATAAAAACGCTAATAAGATTCAAACAATAGCAGCAAGGAGAATGTTTGATGCTGCTGGTATTGAGTATAGGTATTGTCATTTAGAAGTGTATTAAATGTTTAGCGTATTTAAAATTACAAGAGTTTAGAATAATTCCTATCTGTGTTTCAGGCAATATATTCCAAAGAATAAAAAAATAGAAATTGATTTCAGTAATGTTAACTGGACAGTAATGAACCAGTTGCCATGTACACCAACAAAACAGGAAGACTCAGAACATTAAAATCATCTCTTAATTGTTTGTGTAGAATGTAGACACATTACATCTGAAGTTGTTACTTATATAAAAAAACTGTGCCTTTTATACTTTAGATATTTTTTTATACATTTCATGTGTAAATACATGTGTGTTTGTGTAAATAAAACAAACAAAATATATTTTACTTATGATTTTTTGTTCTTGTATTATTGTTTATTCATTACGTATACATGCTTTATCTTATTCTTCTGATAATGTAAAGTGATTCATTCCTTTCTATTACTTTTAATCTAAAAAAAATTTATCTATATAAAACTTTCTATGCTTTTATCTGTATAGTTTAGCTTGGTGCGACATTGACTCAGCTGATTGGATGAAGCTGTGTATATCTTACTTTTGATAGTCATTGATACATGAATATATAGATGTGATAAATAGGTCTGTAGCACACTGCACACAGTCTTACTACACTAGTGTCATGGTTTTAAAGATATTTGTGACATAGGGTATTCCCCTGTCTCCATTGTATTAAGTAGCAGCATAAGCATTTTGAGTGTAAGTCTCATGATGAAGACAATTAAAGTCTAAAAAATTCTCTTTGACATAAAATTTTTAAAATATCACACTAAACACAGTACATACTGTTTGTGTTACTTTTTAATTTAATTTAACTTGATCTACAATGTCAACAGCAGTTTCTAAGAGGTAAGTAAAATTTTTGTGATAATATTTAAAATATATGTTTATAAAAAAGATACGTGTTTGTGTGATAATATTAACAATTTTTTGTTCAGAAGTAGATTGCCACGTATTTCTTGGCAAGAGTATTTTATGGGAATCGCTTTTCTATCTGGAAAACGATGTAAAGACCAACATTACATGGTTGGCGCATGTATTGTTAATAATAAGAATATAATTATTGGAACTGGATATAATAAGTTGCCTAAAGGATCTACGAAGTCCGAGAAAGGAAAAAGTATAAAAAGAGATATTATATATCTGTGTTGATGTGTGTGTAACATTTTATGATATATATGAGCATATATGCATACATATGTATAATCATATAAAATATATTACTTCATATATGTAGAAAATATTCATATATATAGACATTGTTAATGACATTTGGTATCATTTATAATAATAATAATAATAATAAAATTAATAATTGTTTTCTTATTTGATTATAGCATCTCATGCGGAACATATTGCTATTCGAAACACAAACTCACGCAGTACTGAAGGTTGTACCATGTATGTTACTTTATTCCCTTGTAATAGGTGTGCGGTAGCTATAATACAGGCTGGTATAAAAAAAGTAATATATCTATGTGATAATTATGTAGACAGGGTAATAGCTGCCAAACATATGTTTACTACCAGTGGCGTTACTTACATGTACGTATTATCCCACACAGGACAAAATCTTCACATTAGACGTCTATACGATTAAATATCACATAGAACTGTTGATGTCTAATGGACATCTAATAGAGGTTTTGTTCTATATGGGATTATTTATAAATGCTTGTACTTAAAATAACGTTGTAATTAATTTTTTAATTTTATTATTTGTTTTTTTTTTAATTTTATTATTTTATTATCTTATTGTTTGTTTATAAATATAATATAAATTTCTTAATTTCTAAATTTTGTATAATCACAAGAACATTTGTGTAATGCACATAATAAACTTCATTTCTGATGTGTCTCAGGCCATATGAAAGTATAATGTATAGAGTGCCTCTTCATCGATATGGATATTTGCAAATTGATGTAGCAGAATATTGTATGGGAATAGCATATCTGTCTGCAAGACGGAGTAAAGATGTAGTATGCAATATTGGTGCATGCATTGTTAATAAAGATAATGTTATTGTTGGCATTGGATATAATGGATTGCCTAGAGGAATGGATGACATACCAAAAATATTTTTATACAATCAATATAATCAATATAATCAATCCAAGGATGGATATTTTAAAGGTATATCACATATGTACATATAAATATGATTGACAATAATACTTTGTTTGTAACATATGGCAATATTTTAATGAAATATATTAGAATAACATTGTTAATAAGTTATTAATTGGTTGTAGAATGTCACGCAGAGCTTAATGCAATTTTAAACAAAAATGTAGATGCAGACAATCTTCAAGATTGTACAATGTACGTCACTTCTTATCCTTGCACTGAATGTGCAAAAAAAATTATAGACTATAATATAACAAAACTGGTATACATGTCAAATAAACAAAACAACGTTGATATGACAGTTGCAAAAGAATTATTGGAAGCAGCTGGTGTATCTGTCAGGTATTATTATATTTAAACTATTATTATCAATTTATTTCTGTAAGAAAAATTTATGAATGTGTTTATTTTTTAGCGAATACAATCCACCAAAAGAAAGAATAGAAATTTATGAAACTTAATCTGCAGTGAAATACAGAGTGAATACATCTAGAGATCATTTCAATGAAAGAACAATAAGTTGATAAAATGACAAGTTCAAGCCTCCTCGCATAACAAACACTTATTTTTAAAAACATGTATAATTGTGTTAATTATTATAACTAAAAATAATGATTTTAATAAAAATTAAAACTAGTTTTTAAGTTTACTTATTATTTTTACCAGTTAAATTGATATTTGATTTTGTCTAAATAATGTAGCATAATATACGAAAAATATTACAAATATACTTAGAACAAATGTTATTGTCTCCAACAAATTTAATTGATTATATGATTATTTCGTTATTATTTGATTAATCGCTTTAGTTAAGTTGAATTGAATCAGAGGTGACCACATATATAAATATTTATAAATGATTAATATTGACGGTCACATCGATTAACTTAACTAACTTTTGGTGAGACTGGGCCCCGAGATTTAAATACAAGCTTTTACGATATCAACAAATAAAACGCGTGAGTTACGTGCTAGCATATAACATCTTGTGCGTTTTTAACTTCCTGCGCCTAACAAAAATTAAGAGAAGAGTAGAATCTAACTTTAGCGATTGGCTAACGCGTGACTAACATTTCTAGATAATTCTACCCGATAGATAATCAGTAGTTTTTTAATCTTTCCGTGCAATATATTCGTGTTGCATTATTGAAGTACCCAGCTTTATTGAAGTTTACTCTTACTAAACTTACTAAACGCTAATTTCTACTGAACAGTTATATAATAATAGTTATATAATAGCAGTTATATAATAATAATATAGGACATTATTTTTTTTAAACAATTTTAATATTTTGTATAATATAATAAAATTCTTTTACTGTGTCATATATACTAGGTTCAAATCGAGAAGAGAAATCGGACAAAGCAAATATTCCGCCAATCCTGTACGCAACGCTATCTCTACTTTGCACGCTTTTCTTTCTCAGTAGGATTCTCTTTTTGCTTTGAATCCAGTATACACATATGTGAATCATTATCGCTAATGACATCATATTCTGAAAAGATAGCTCTGATAGATATCAAAGAGTAACAGTATAAAGGAACAAAGCCTTTAGATACTAAAAAGATGAATATATTACGGAAGTAAAGTTATTGTATTATATGTTCACTATCTACATAAAAGATAATAATTTATATATGTACGCATGATTTAAGAAATATAAAAATTTAATTGTTCTTCGCAGACTTTTATAAAACTATATCTTATCAAAGCTCGTGTGCGCTTTAGAATACAATGGATTTACATTTATTAGTAAGTGTATAAAAAGATATATTTTTCATAGTTAATAAATAATATATATTTCGGGGATTTCCCAGTATGGGGAACTGATATAAAGTACGTGAATCAACAGTAATTTACAACACTTAGAGACACACCACGAGACACGTCTGCAAAATTCGATAGCGAAGTAAGTAAAATATTATCATTACACGCAGAAATTGTTTTGATCATATAATTTTATCATTTAAGAATAACAAATTTTATATTAACTGTTTTGCTGCGGACGTTATATTTAAGCTGACGCTACTGTGTGTTTATTGGTCAGTTTGCTATTCGTAATTCGTATATTCGTATATTAGTATATAATTCTAATAATATGTAGAGAAAAACTATTTGTCGAAGATACAAGAATCGACAAAGTCTGTTTGCAGCGAAAGAATCGATACATATCAATATATGTATATATTTCGAAGAATATTGATACTGATAAAAAATATATTATTTACAGAATATATATATATAATATATTACGTCTTGATTACATTTTCAAGAATATTTAATTGTGACAATGACAGAATTATACAATGGGTGAGAAAAGTTTTTAGTTGGATGTATTAAAAAATAGGTTGCTTTATAAAAAACTTATATTGAATATTGTTACTTTGTTTTGAAAAAGAACTCGCATTGATTGGTATGACTATTTTATGGGAATTGCGATTCTTTCTGAACAACGAACCGAAGAACATTGCTACCCTGTAGGTGCCTGTATTGTGAATGATAATAAAATAATTGTCGGAACAGGATACAATGGATTAACTAATGGATGTAAGAATAAAAAAGACAGATCTCTTTATGGTATGACAGAATATATAAAAAATTATAATACATAGATATATATAATAAATATAATATAGTGCTTACAGATATCTTACTATTACAAATAATGTATATGTATGTATTAATAATTTTTTAAATTGAATTATATAGTATTTCATGCAGAACTTGTTGCTCTACGAAATAAAAATTCAAGAGATGTTAAAGACTGTACAATGTATGTTACACTGTTCCCTTGCAATCACTGTGCAAATATTATAATACAATCTGGTATAAAAACAGTGATATATTGTAATAGGGAATTTAATGATACGAAAAGAGTGAAAGCCGCAAAGAAAATGTTTGATGCCGCTGGCGTAGTTTATCAGTATCTATATATTTATTACTACATATCTATATCACTATATTAAAAATAAGATGATTCTACATATAAAAAAATTTTGGTTATTTTTCAGGAGTTATAACTCAATTTATAACAAGCGGATTCCTAAAGACAAATATACGCGTATAAACTACGACGAATATTTCATGGGAATAGCATATATATCTTCAAAACGAAGTAAAAGTGTAGTTAAAAAAATAGGGGCATGCCTTGTTAATAAGAATAAAGTTATCGTCGGAATTGGTTATAATGGATTAACCAGAGGATTAGATACCATACCAACAAATTGTGTAAATGAAGAAGTTCCTGCTTCCTACTTTGAAGGTACAAACAATAAAATTTCTAAAAAAGGCTCTCTTTTCATTTTATACTTGTTAATTTTTAAATACATTTCTAAATAAAATAAAAAATAATGAATTATTATGAAAACACTTATATATCTTTTACTATAGTGTGTCATGCAGAAATTAATGCGATTTTAAACAATTTATGCGATGTTGAGAAAGACTGCACGATGTATGTTACTTCTTTTCCTTGTAATGAATGTGCAAAAGTAATACTACAGTTTAAAATAACAACAGTAATATATATGCATGAAGATGCTAATGACAAAACAGAAATCGCAAAGAACATGTTTGATGCTGTTGGTATAAAATACAGGTATTTAGAAAGAACTGTTAATTTAAAAATAATTATTAATTTAGTAATATAACTGCAAAGAAATGTAATAATTTTTTTCAGACAATGTGATGTAAATATTGCAAGAATAGAAATATTTAAGTAGAACAGAAATAATGAAAAAAATAATGAAAGAAAATTACAAGAATAGAAAAGAAAAGCGCGGAAAAAGTAAACAAGTTAAAAAAAAGACTAAAAATATATAAGAAACTATAAATATGATTTTCCTCTGTTTTAATAAAACTATATTTTTATACTTTGTTAACAACTTGACTTGTATGTTGAATATTGGATTGTATTGGTGTTTTACTTATTATTTAAGAATTAAAACTTTCAATACTTATGTATTTGTACTTACGTATAATTTATATGTATATATCTACATACAATAATGAAATACACATTATTAATTATATAACGTATGCTTTTTTGTATAAGAACAATTCACTAAATTCTATAAACCTGTAGCTATATGTACCCGTATATTATTAACACGTTCGAGGCCGGCACTTTTAAAACGAGACCGCTATCCGAAGTCCACGTACAATTTTCAAACGTCTATATCTCACTTTCAGTCTACAAATTATCACTTTACGACATTATCTTTGTATCTTCTTATACTTTTATACTTTATCTTTATGTTTTTATATGATAGTCATTGATGCATGGATATATAGATGCATATATATACAGACACGATAAGTGCATCTGTGCACACTGAGTATAGTTTCAATCAATCATTCTGAGCATTTAGTAAGAGTCGTATGATAATGATGTCCAGAGAACTCTTTATTTTAATTGGAAAAGTTCATGGAATTATGGATGATCATTATATATATAGTCTGTAAAGGACAACCTAAAGAAAGAAATGAAATGAATATTTGATCATATCTCGAAAATTACGAAAACCTTGAGTCGTGAATAAATGGTTGGCAAGCCTTTCAGGGATTCCCCAACGTTGACTTATAAAGGCGTGGTAATAAAAACATGTATACTTACAAAGCAGTTGTGGAAAGAGCTCTTAGTGCGATAGATACAAGTGTGCTTAGAAACTGTCATTTATTCACATTTATACAAACTGTTTTGACTACATGATTTTATAGTTTACAGCTGATGTGAATGTTTTATATCATTAATCGTTACTTTCTTTGTTATAAACGTTTATCTTGTCACTACATATCAACGATGTTATAAAACTTACATATTTAGCGATTTATTTTTAGTCAAAAACAATTACACTCTACAAATATAACATTAGAAATTCATAATCCAGAATGGAGTTACAGCCAAAAACAAGTTTCGAAATGTAAGTAAAATTTTATATATAATTTAATATAATATTACACAATGTTTGTTTATAATAAAGATAAATTATGCTCGGTAACTGTAATGTTGCTTTTTAGAGAAAACTCGCCATGCATTACTTCAGATGAATACTTTATGGGAATAGCAATTCTTCTTGAGAAACTATCCGAAAGAAATTGTTATCCTGTGGGTGCGTGTATAGTTAATAGTAATCAAAGGATTGTCGGAACTGGATATAACACTATACACAAAGGATGGAATAATGACGAAGACATGAGATCTCTTTTTTGTAATAACAAAATATATAACACAATGCTCTATGTTATGTAGAAATTGTATGTATTAATAATGTTCTTTTAACTAAATTATAGTGTGCCATGCAGAAGCGGCAGCTATTTTAAATAAAACTTCAACGGATGTCAAAGGATGTACAATGTATGTTACAAAGTTTCCTTGTAATGACTGTGCAAAAAGAATAATATCATCCGACATAAAAAAAATAATATATTGTGATATGAAGCGCAACTACATGTATACTACAAAAAGAATACAAGCCGCAAAAAAAATATTTGCTGCTAATGGCGTAACTTACGAGTGAGTATTATTTTAATTACTACTTTTAATTGTACCAACGTCCTATATAAAATAGCTCTTGATTTTTTCCAGGGAATGTACAACAATTTATAACAAGCTTGTTCCTAAAGTTTATTATAGATTTTCACGATTGACAAACGAGGAATGTTTTATGGGAATAGCGCTTCTTATTTCAAAACAATGTGAAAATGTGGAAAGAATTGGTGCATGCATTATTAATAAGAATAACGTTATTGTCGGCGTTGAATATAACAGCCTCTCTAGAAAAATGAATCAAATAGAAAACTCTCTACAACAAAACATTCCTGCTTCATACTTCAATGGTATAATTCATGATTACCGATAACGATATAACAATTTGTACGAGTACAATGCAAGTTAATTTTTAGTACAATATTGCTTAATATGTATGTATATATATAAACAAAATGTTTTTTTACTTAACGTATTATTATAAATATATGTATAAGGCCTTACGAGCTATTCTCAAGATGTTTTGAGTAGAAACTTGTACGTGTATATATATACATACACATGTAACAAATTCAACTTGTAAATTTTTACAAGTGAGTTTTTTTTGAGTTTTTTTAGGCCTCCTAACAGGGAAGGCGATGGCACGGAAAGCCGGAGATTCCAGGTTCGACTCCTGGCCGAGGAGTTTTTTTTCGCAAAATTTTAAAATTAGTTAGGGGGGTATCCGGGGTCTGTCATATGTGAGATGCAAATTCGGCATCCCGTATGATTTTAAGAATTGAGTTTTCAACTCAAAAAACACTCACTTGTAAAAATTTACAAGTTGAATTTGTTACATGTGTATGTATATATATACACGTACAAGTTTCTACTCAAAACATCTTGAGAATAGCTCGTAAGGCCTTATACATATCTTGTTGGTAATTTCACGAGTCTTAAGTCATAATTGATTATAAATATACTTTCTTGTGATTGCAGTATGTTACGCAGACTTTATAATTAATTCAATTCTAAGTATTTCATGTGATGTTGAAGACTGCACAATATATGTCACTACTTTTCCTTGCAATGAAATTGCGGAAGTAATAGTACAGTCTGGCATAAAAACAGTTAAATACTTGTGTGAAAATATTGATGATGAAACAAAAGCTGCAAAAGAGATATTTGACGCTTATAGTATAAAATACAGGTATTGTTATTTATAGAAATTGTACTGTTATTCTTTTCTTAACTGCAAGGAAATACGATAATTTTAATTTCTTATGATATATTTTAATGTTTTCAGACAATTTAATGGAAAGATTTCAAACATAGAAATTTTTAAAAGTTATTACAGACTTGAATGTAGCATTAGAAGTTATCAGAACAAAAAACAATCGTTTTTTACTCAAAAAGTAAAAGAAGAACATAAAAAAACGGCAGATGAAAAGAAAAGAAGAACAAGAAAGAAAAATCGACAAATACAAATTGCAAATAACACACACACACACACACACACATTAAAAATGAAAGTTCTACAAAATTGAATACGGCAATAGAAAAAACCATTGAACAAAATCAAACAAAAAAGGAACATCAAGAAAAGGAAGAAGAAAAAAAAGAACAATATAAAAGAGAAGAGAAAAAAGAACAAAATAAAGGAGAAGAGAAAAAAGGACAAGATAAAGAAGAAGAGAAAAAAGAACAAGATAAAGGAGAAAAGAAAAAAGAACATGAAAAGACACAAACAAAAACTAAAAAGAAAAAAAGAACATGGTTTTTGTTTTGTTTTTAATTTATGTAACATAAAGTCATTTTTTTAGTTTATATGTATATTATAATAAAGAGTGTGTAAAGATTACACGTATTTTTGTCGACATATGTCAACAAATAATCTATTACCATCATTTTCTTTTCTTAATATATATATATATATATACACAATTTGTAAATCTATCTTCTATTATTACTATAAAAATATTCTCTGTCTGAACATATGTGTGTTAATGTAATACTTAATAAATTAATACATACTTTTGAAAAAAATTATAAATGTATTAATTATTGAGTTTTAAATGCAAATAATAAGTTAATACTATACGTAATATACTTTAAACAATATATAAAATATGTTGTTTGATTTTCATTTATATAAAAATTTATCTCTTTATGTCTGCTTATTCTTTTCTTCTGAGTAAGTATCACAAAAATTATTTCTTTTCATCTGCTTGTCGCTTTCGGTTTAAAAATTATTGGTTTGCTCATTACAATCTTTGTAATTTTTATATTTTTATAGTTTTATCTTTATGCTTTAGTTTTGTTTAGTGCACTTATGGCCTCTCTTAGACCTATAGAATTTATCTATATGTCAGGCTGATTGTGAATACCGCGTTTCTTTGATCATTACAAGTGCAAGTATCATACTAACCATTCGATAAACGGTAGTCTTTCACAGTGGCGTATCTGTGGCGTATCTCCATATATGTAATACTCCTATATTGCTAGTCGCGTATCTTCGCAATGAGAGGCACGAGGCCCGAGAAAGGGAGACGCACGAAGTCCAAATATGGGCATAGATGGTCGAGCGTCATTATGCGCTACATGCGCACAAAGCAGCTGGAGAGAGAGGCTACTATATTGTCTGCACCGTAACGGTGAGCTTCAGGTCGGCACCGTACTAGCAATATAGGAGTATTACATATATGCGTATCTCAGACACGTGCTCAAGTGACGTGACTATTTGTAAGACCGCTTTTGAGAGCGAGATTAATACGAAATTACACTCGAATTAATTATTGGAGGTCCGATTTGGTTCATTTTTCAATCAATCAACTCGATTAAAATAGACTAGCCCTAAAAAAATTCCTGAGGTTTTGAACCATAGATACTTAAAAATTCTAGGTCCTCGATGCGCGTGTTCGCAACTCTTGCACTCAAGCCGCGAAACCACTATGTCCTCTCCACTTTTAAACGATAAATGTGATACATAGGGATATAGACGTAAAAAATGCATCTGTGTTGTACACACTGATATGAGTATATTTTTAGTACTAGTGTCACAAGGTCATAACAATGTAATATACTTCCTACCTTTATATATCATGCAGTAACAATCATTCTAAGCCTGGATCCTCATGCAGACACTGGCGCTTTAGCACCAGCGCTCAAGTGCTGTTTCAACTGTTGAGCAAAGCTAATGGTCGCGTTCAGCAGATACAACTGTTGTACAACTGTTGGGCTGTGTTCAGTTAAGCAAGATGGAACGAACTAATGCAGGAAATGCAGGAAATACAGGAATTGGAACTAATGAATTCCTGTATTTCCTGCATTTCCTGCATTAGTTCGTTCCATCTTGCTTAACTGAACACAGCCTTGGGTGAGTGTCTGCTGAACGCACTCTGCTCAGTCACCGCTACTCAACATGTTTAGGGAGCGGACGCCATTTTTTCCATCGAAGTTTTTCTCTGCTACCTAAGCGTAACATGTAAAAGAATATGGCAACACACATATGAGAAATGTAAACACGGATAATTTTGATTTGTATGTAAGAGAAAATGAGTTCTGAAAACCTCAAAATGTATAGTGTCGTTTTTGCCATTATTCATAGCAAATAAAACAATCACATTTAAATTGTCCATTGCAAATTGTAAATTATAACACTTAATTTTTTAATAATTTGGTAATATTTTGTTTTCTATTGTTTAGTTTATTATGAATAAACACACTGAGAGGTTATGTTTAGGCTTTATTAAAAAACAGTGTAGGGTCACGTGACATGTTATACAGATCTGAAGCTCAAGACCGTTCAGCAAGCATGATCTATATCACTAAGCGTTCACTGATCATTTGCTCAACCGCTTTGCAACTGCTGGAATCTGCTGAACGCGACCAATGAGAGCTGTCAATCCTCATGACAGCTCCGGTGCTTTAGCGCCGTTTACTCCCACTACCCGCTTTTCACCAATCAACGCTTGATTTCAAAGCGCCGGTGTCTGTATGAGGATCCAGCCTAACCATATATTAGTAATATAAATCTTGTATAATAATGATGTTCGGAAAACTCTTTCTTTAATTAAAGAAGTTCAGTTGGAGTTATGGACGTCTATTAGTCTGCATAGGATGAACTAAAGAAAAAAAATAAAAAGAAGATGAAGATAATTTGAAATATCTCAAAAGTTACTTTGAAAACTCGGATGAATGTGATTAAGACCCAGTTTCACAATTCGCGGTTAACTCGAATTAACTGAAGTTCGACTTGCTGAGCTCGGTTTAACGCGTTCAATCTTCTTTGTCAAATCTTCGCTAACCAATCACAGTTCATGTTTAGGAAGAAAAAATGCGTTACGCCGAGTTCAGTAAGACCTGGTTTATGCGAGCCTAAGATTTTAATATTTCTGTTTATTAACAGAAGCATAACAGAATATAACAAAAGCATTGAAATCCTATAGTTAAACTGTACCAATTCCGGCATAAATTAACAGTTATTACCCGCATAAACAAGGCCAAAACAAGGCCTTATTTGCCCGCATAAACCAGACCTAAGTTGGGCTTCTGTTAATTCGAGTTAACCGTCAATTGTGAAACCGGGCCTAAATGGTTGGCAAGTCTTTCGGGGATTCCCTGACGTCGACGTATATATGCGTGTCAACAAGAATATATTCACAAAGCAGTTGTGGAAAGAGCTCTCAGTGCGATAGATACAAGTGCGCGTAGAAACTGTTACTTGGTCATATTTATACAAAACTGTTGTTGATTATATGATTTTACTGTTTATAATTGATGAGAATTTTATATTAATCATTACTTTCTTTCTTATGGACGTTGTACATTTACTGTTGTTATATTTGTTACAGTTGATGTGAAATTTGTGTATACTTAGCGATTTATTTTTCGTTAAACTATTACACTCTCCAGTTGTGACATTCGAAACTCTTAATCCAGAATGGAGTTACAACCAAAAGTAACATGTTACAACTTGTAAGTAAAATTTTATAATATAACATTTAAACAATGTGTGTTTAAACTAAAGATACGTATACTCGGTAACTGTAATGTTTTTTTTAGAGAAACCTCGCCATGCAATAATTCAGATGAATACTTTATGGGAATAGCAATTCTTCTTGAGAAACTATCTGAAAAAGGTTGCTATCCTGTGGGTGCGTGTATAGTTAATAGTAATCAAAGGATTGTCGGAACTGGATATAACACTATACACAAAGGATGGAATAATGAAGAAGACATGAGATCTCTTTTTTGTAATAACAAAATATATAACAAAATGCTCTATGTTATGTAGAAATTGTATGTATTAATAATGTTCTTTTAACTAAATTATAGTGTACCATGCAGAAGCGGCAGCTATTTTAAGTAAAACTTCAACGGATGTCAAAGGATGTACAATGTATGTTACAAAGTTTCCTTGTAATGACTGTGCAAAAAGAATAATATCATCCGACATAAAAAAAATAATATATTGTGATATGAAGTGCAACTACATGTATACCACAAAAAAGATACAAGCCGCAAAAGAAATATTTGCTGCTAATGGCGTAACTTACACGTAAGTATAATTTTATTACTATTTTTTAATTATACTAACATCCTATATAAAATAACTCTTGATTTTTTTCAGAGAATGTACAACAATTTATGACAAGCTTGTTCCTGAAGCTTATTGTAGATTTTCACGATTGACAAACAAAGAATGTTTTATGGGAATAGCGCATCTTTCTTCAAAACAAAGTGAAAATGTGGAAAAAATTGGTGCATGCATCGTTAATAATCATAACGTTATTGTCGGCGTTGGATATAACAGCCTGTCTAGAAAAATGGATCAAATATCATTAAGCTCTCTACAAAAAACCATTCCTGCTTCATACTTTAATGGTATAATTTATAATAAACAATAACGTTATAACAATTGAAAACTTTGTACGAATACAATGCAAGTTAATTTTTAGTACAATATCGTTTAATATATGTATGTATATGAACAAAATAATTTTTTACTTAACGTATTATAAATATTCTTGTTTTTGCAGTATTTTACGCAGATTTTATAATTAATTTAATCCTAAGCACTTCATGTGATGTTAACAACTGTACGATGTATGTCACTTCTTTTCCTTGCAATGAAAGTGCGAAAGTAATAGTACAGTCTGGCATAAAAACAGTAATATACTTGCGTAAAACTACTGATGATAAAACAAAAGCTGCGAAGAAAATGTTTGACGCTGATAAAGTAAAACATAGGTATTATTATTTATAGAAATTCTACTGTTATAAATATATATATATATATATTCATTTCTGAACTGCAAGGAAATACGCGATAATTTTAATTTGTTATGATATATTGTGTTCCAGACAATTTGGCGTTAAGATTTCAAACATAGAAATTTTTCGAAGGGAAAGTACCATAGATTTGAATACAGTAATAGAATTGATGGAAATATTACAACAACAAAAAGAAAATCTTCCCTTTCCTCCTTCTCACTTTCATCATTTTTTTCTCCCTTCTCTCCCCATACCTTTTCTACCCATATCTTTCTCTCTCCCCACCCGATTTTTCCCCTGTTTCCTTCCCCCGCTTCCTTACCCTTCTCTCCCTGTTCCTTTCTTACAATTGTAACCAATCTACTTTTCTCCTCGTCCCATCTCCACAAAACCCCCTCCATCTTTATCTTATCATCCTCCACCCAGACATTTTTCCCTTTCCTCCTTTCCCCCGCCGCAATTACCTCTAATTTCCTTCTTACCTCCCTCTCTTTCCACGATAGATCCTCCTCGATCCAAACTTTCCTCCCCTTTAATCTCTTCTTTTTATCCCACACTTGCTTCTTGTAAGTTGTTTTCGTGTTTACTTGCTTTCCACTCCTCCTTCTCCAGCCTTAACCACACCATTTCTCCTTTATCCTCCCTTCCTGTGGTTATCCTCCTCATTTCACTTATCTTCACTTCCGCTCCTATCTCTTTCAAAAGCTTTTCCACTCCCCATCTCCAGTCACCTTTTTCCCTTGGAACTCCTTTTATTATAACATTCCTCCTTCTTCTCTCTTCCTTTTCTTTTCTCTCTATATTCAAATAATTTTTAATCAAGTAAAGAAAGACGGAAAGAAGAGAAAGAAAACAAACCAAACAAAATCTACAAACAAAATTGAAAGTGGAAGTAAAGATTTGCATGCAACAACGGAAGTCATTAAAAGAATTCAAACAGGAACAAAACATCAAGAAAAAGGAGGAGAAAAGAAAGGAAAAAAAAACAGGAGAAAAAGTCAAACAACATCTACAAACAACATTAAAAGTGGCATTTCTACAGGTTTTAATCTTTCAGCTATTACGGGTAAACATAATCGCTCGTCACAAACCTCTGTTCGTATACTACGGGCAACTACAATCACCCAAGAAACGTTGTTCACATACTACGGGTAATATAGTCGCTCGCCATGAAACGATCTTCACATGCTATAAGCGATTATAACAGATACGCATTTGATGATTTATCAATGAATTCAAATGCATAAGTGTTTTGTCCATATCATTTGATTAGTCTTTTGTTTTTATTACTAACTTAATGATAATCGTATCCGTTTGGTAAATATGTGCTTATGATGTGAAATTTTATTTAGTATTGACATATTTTGACGACCAGTTCCGCCGAAAAAGTTAATACAGCAATAGATAATATCATCAAAAAGTCAAACAAAAAAAGAATATCAAGAAAAAGAGAAGAAAGAAAAAAACCAAAACAAAAATTTATAAGCAAGAAAACAATAAACTTTAAGTTCTGTTTTCAATTTATATAATGAAGAATATATAAAAGGTTATTCTATTTTTACCTTATGTATTTAATAAAAGATACACGAAAAATACACTCTTGTCGCTAAGAGAATCTGAGAAAATGAAATAAAAAGATATAATGTAAAATTACGAATGTATTTTGTAATATTATAAGTCTTTTAGCTATTTAACTACCTTTTTCTTAATGATTTTTCATGAAAAATAAAAATGTAAAACACTTATTTTAACAATAAAAATTTTTATTAAAAACTGAAAAAGTAAGTTTAATTTACATTGCGTTTCAGATTTTAAGATAAAAAACTAGTAATAAAAATTAATTGTAAAACAATTCCACTTTATTTCGGACAATATATATTCCAAAGAAAGAAAAAATAGAAATTAATCGGTATAAAAAACAACACAAAAACACAATAAATGAGAGAATTCAGATTAGAATCAGAATCGTGTCTTAATGATTGTATATATTTTATCTAACCAATTTGTTATTTATAAGAATATATTATTCTGTTTTTGAACGCATGTGTTGTGTAATAATATATATGTATATACATACAATAATAAACTACACATTATTAATTACATAGCGTATATTTTTTTTGTATAAGAACAATTCACTAAATTTTTCAAAACCTGTAGCTACATATATACGTTGTTATTAATTAACACATTCGCGACCAACGATTTTAAAGCGAGACCTCTATCCGAAGTCCGCGTATAATTTTCAAACGTCTATAGCTAAAATCCGCAGTGTTCTGCTATTTTACAAAGGTGAAATTATACAAAATATTGCTTTATTATATTACACTTATGTTTCTTAAACAAATGAACATAAATTATAAAATAACGTATAATAAGGACTACGTCAGCTGGATCTCACAATCAGCTATAAATTTTGAAGTAACATAAGATTATGTTACTGGCCATAAATGTGTTAATATTAATGTAAATATTTCTCAAAATCTTATTTAAAAAAAAGATAAAAAGATATTAAGTTCACATGCCACTTGTATGCATTCTTATATATATATAACTTATATACACTTATATATGAGATTGCTTCATTCTCAAATATAATTATATATAATTATTTATAACCAAATATCGAAATTATTGTCCATATACACAACTTGTTTTTCTCAGATTAATTGTTACTCATATTATTTCTTCATACTTATCTCTAATTATTTTATTTTTATCTTCTGAATAAAAATCCTTCCCATATGCTTGTCACTTTCAGTTTACTCTCAGTCTAAATTATCAGTTTGTAACATTATCTTTGAACTTTTCATATTTTTATACTTTATCTTTGTATTTTTATACGATAGTCATTGATGCGTGGATATATAGATGCGATAAATGCATCCGTGCTGTACACACTGAGTTTCAGTACTGTTGCCAAGGTTGTGGAAATGTAAGATATTTTCTATATCTTCCGCATATCACGTAGTGCTGAGGTAACATAATTCTAAACATTTACTAGTAATATCATATCATATAAGTCTCGTGTGATAATGATGTTTGGAGAACTCTTTCTTTAATTGAAGTAGTTCATGGAGTTATAAACGTTAATTAGTATAAAATGAACTAAAGAAAAAAGGTACAAAGAAGATGAAAACAGTTTAAGATATCTTAAAAGTTACTTCGAAAACTCAGGTGAATGTGAATAAATGGCTGCGTTCAGCAGAACTCAGCGCTTAGCAGCCAGCAGCATTAATGTTCTGCTGAACGCTCTTGTGCGTGTGTATGACATTTTACATACATGCAGGTAGATTAGGTATATACACTACAAAAATATAAAACTAAAATATTTTATAAGTATATTTTACTTTTTTTACAATCATATTTTTGTAATGCTCTTATTATGTTATTTTTACTTAGTAAAACTAAAAAAAATGGAGGAAATAATACACATTGCCATAGAGAACGGTATTATAAATAATATATTTAATTTACTAGAAGATCTAGACAATAACGGAAAGTATGAAAATCATTTAGGAATTTAAAAAAATGATAAATCAAGGAATGAAAATTATTTTGAGTTAGTCATTCCTCGATACACAAATATTCAAGTTGTAGAACATTTTAGAATGTCACGGATCTGTTTTGAAGTAATATACATTTCAGTCATATACATTTATATTATTTTTGTTTAATTGGATACAAGTAAATAATGTTTGTGTGTGAGGTGTCAAAGTTTGCTGCGCAATCATGTTCCGTTGCGCTTATTAAGCATATTTTGAGTTTGCTACAAAACATAGCGACCGCTTAGCAAACATGTTGCAAAAGCGTAAACCGCTAAATGGCAGTGAGCAGAAAATCTTACAACAGTTGCAAAGCAGCTTGTTCTGCTGAGCACAGCTAATGGTTGGCAAGCTTACGGGGAATCCCCAACGTCGACTTATAAGTGCGTGGCGATAAAAATACGTTTACAAAGCATCTGTGAAAAGAACACAGTAGGATAGAGACAAGTGTGTATAAAATGTTATATTCACATTTATACAACTGTTTTGACTTTATGATTTTATAGTTTCTAACTATAAGATGTGAGTTTTATATCATTCTTTGCTGCGGACGTTGTACTTTGTTATCATATATACTGTTGTACACTCACTTTATTACAAGTTGTTTAATTGTTATAAAATTTGTATACTTGTGTATACTTAGCAATTTATTTTTACACAAAAAAAATTACACGTTTTAATTGTAATATTCAAAATAATATTTCTTAATCCAGAATGGAGTTACAACCAAAAGTAACAAGTTACGGAATGTAAGTAAAATTTTATAATATAATATAACATTTGCACAATGTGTGTTTATGCTAAAGATACGTACGCTAGGTAACTGTAATGTTTTTTTAGAGAAAACTCGCCATGCATTACTTCAGATGAATACTTTATGGGAATAGCAATGCTTCTTGAGAAACGATCCGAAAAAGGTTGCTATCCTGTGGGTGCGTGTATAGTTAATAGTGATCAAAGAATTGTCGGAACTGGATATAACACAATATACAACGGATGGAATAAAAAAAAAGACAGATTTTTCAGACCTCTTTTTTGTAATTACAAAATATATAAAACAATGCTTTATATTATGTAGAAATTGTAAGTATTAATGATGTTCTTTTAACTAAATTATAGTGTGCCATGCAGAAGTTGCTGCTATTCAAAATAAAACCTCAACGGATTTGAAAGGCTGTACAATGTATGTTACACGGTTCCCTTGCAAATGCTGTGCGATAGAAATAATATTATCCGACCTAAAAAAAGTAATGTATTGTGATAACCGCTCTCATATTACAAAAAGCGTAAAAACCGCAAAGAAACTATTTGCTGCTTATGACGTATTTTACGGGTAAATATTATTTCATTATTAATTTTAATTACATCAGAGTTCTATATAAAATAGCTCTTGATTTTTTTCAGGGAATGTACAACAATTTATGACAAGCTTGCTCCTAAAGCTTATTGTAAATTTTCACGATTGAAAAACGAGGAATGTTTTATGGGAATAGCATATCTTTCTTCAAAACGAAGTAATAATGTGGAAAAAAACGGTGCATGCGTTGTTACTAATGACAACAATATTGTTAGCGTTGGATATAATGAGCTTTCTGAAACAATGGGTTAAATATCATTTACCTTTTAATAAAAAAATATTCTTGCTTTATTGTTTATAATTTGTGATAACTAATGGTACTATAACAATTTAAGATTTCATATGTGTAATGCCTATTACTTTTTAGTACAATATCGATCTATATATATGAGTGTGTGTGTGTTTGTGTACATATATAAACAAGGTGTTTCAATGTATTATTATAAAGATGCTTATTTGTGATTGCAATAGGTAACGCAGATTTTATAATTAATTCACTTCTAAACACTTCATGTGATGTTAAAGACTGCACGATGTATATCACTTTTTTCCCGTGCTATGAAAATGCGGAAGTAATAGTACAGTCTGGCATAAAAACAGTTAAATACTTGTGTGAAACTATTGATGATGAAACAGAAGCTGCAAAAGAGATATTTGACGCTTATAGTGTAAAATACATGTATTGTTATTTATAAAAATTCTACTGTTACTTATTTATTAATGACAAAAAAATACGATAACTTTTTTTATAATAACTTTTATTTTTTTCAGACAATTTAATGTGAAGATTTCAAAAATAGAAATTTTTAAAAGTTATTACAGACTTGATTATAGCAATAGAAGTTATCAGAACAAAAAACAAGTAAAAGAAAAACCCCAAAAGAAGGCAGGTAAAAAGAAGAGAAGAAGGAGAAAGAAAAATCAACAAACATAAATTGCAAATAACAGTAAAAATGAAAGTACTACAAGCTTGAATAGAAAACGGCAATAAAAAAAATCATCGAACAAAATCAAACAAAAAAGGACATCAAGAAAAAGAAGAGAAAAAAAAAACAAGAAAATGAAGAGAAAAAAGAACAAAAAAAAAGAAGAGAAAAAAGAACATGAAAAAATTGAAACAAAAACTAAAAAAAAAAAAAGAACATTGAATTTATTTTGTTTTTAATTTATGTAACAAAAAGTCATTTTTTTAGCTTATATATATATTATAATACAGGATATGTAAAGATTATACGTGTTTTTGTCGACATATGTCAACAAATAATCTATATTACTATCATTTTCTTTACTTAAAATATATATATATATATATATATACAATTTTTAAGTTTAAATTATCTTTTATCGTTATTTATATAACAATCTTCTGTGTCTCAACAATATGTTAATATAATACTGAAATTAATACATATTTTAAAAAATTATAAATGTATTAATTGTTGGTTTCTAAATGCAAATAATAAGTTAATACTACATATAATATACTTTAAACAATATATAAAATATGTTGTTTGGTTCTCATTCATATAAAAATTTATTTATTTATTTCTGCTTATTCTTTTCCTGTGAGTAAGCATCACGAATATTTCCTTTCACCTGCTTGTCGCTTTCGGTCTAAAAATACTTATATAAAATAATTTCCGTCAAAAACAATTATTAGTGCGTGACTAATTGTAAGACCGCTTTTGAGAGCGAGATTAATACAAAATTACACTCAAATTTAATTATTGGAGGCTCGATTTGATTCATCTTTCAATCAATCAATTCGATCAAAAGAGACCGGCCTTAAAAAAATCCCTGAAGTTTTGAGCGGATTTGAACTCTAGACCCTCCATGCTCGCAGCTCTTGCACTCAAGCCGTGAAACTACTATGCCATCGGATATATAGACGTGATAAATACATCTGTGTTGTACACACTGAGTATATTTTTAGTACTACTGTCAAGGTCGTAAAAATAGAATATACTCCCCACCATATCATGCAGTAACATGAGCATTTTAACCATATACTAGTAACATAGTCTTGTATGACAATGATGTTCAGACAAGAAAACAAGACAAAAAGTTCGTCATGGCGGCCGTAACAGTCGTTATTGCGTAGAAGATAATTTTTGATTTCATGGTGTTTTACACCACTGGTTTTCCGCCAAATAGTGTGAAAAAATAGACTGGCGTATGGCCTAGCTTTTACGAGTCAAAAGCTATAATAGCACCAATACCACCAATATCAATGATGTTCGGAGAACATCATCTTTCTTTAATTGAAGAAGTTCATGAAGTTATGGACGTCCAGTAGTCTGTATAGGATGAACTAAAAAAAAAAGTGAAAAGAAGATAAAGATAATTAGAGATATCTCAAAAGTTTCTTCAAAAACTCGGGTAAATGTGATTAAGCGGTTGGCAAGTCTTTCGGGGATTCCCCAATATTATACTTACAAAGGCGTGGCGATACGAACATATAACGGACACTGAGTAATACTGTGTCCATTAGTGTGAGAAAGAGCATATCAGTGTGTCTCACTTACACTAGTGGACACTGTTTTATACAGTGTCACCTGTGGACGTAGTTGGAAAGCACTCGTATTCACGAAGCACTTGTGGGAAGAGCTCAGTAGGAAACAGTGCGTATTAACTGTTATTTATTCACATTTATACAAACTATTTTAACTACATGATTTTAAAGTTTATAACTGATGTGAGTTTTATATCATTAATCGTTACTTTCTTTGTTGTAGACGTTTATCTTGTTACCACAAATCAACGGTGTTACAAAATTTATATACTTAGCGATTTATTTTTAGTCAAAAACAATTTTCCAAATATAACATCCGAAGTTCTTAATCCAGAATGAAGTTACAGTCAAAAACGAGTTCCGGAATGTAAGTAAAATTTTATACTTTTATATATTATTACATAACGTGTGTTTATGCTAAAGAAAAATTATACTCGGTAATTGTAATGTTTTTTTAGAGAAAAACCGCTACATTTTAATTCGAATGAATATTTCATGGGAATAGCTATTCTTATTGAGAAACAGTCCGAAAAAGGCTGTTATCCTGTGGGTGCGTGTATAGTTAATAGTGATCAAACAATTGTCGGAACTGGATATAACACATTACAAAAAGGATGGGATAAAGAAAAAGACATCAGACCACTTTTTTGTAATAACAAAATATATAACACAATGCTCTTTATTATGTAGAAATTGTATGTAATAATAATATTCTTTTAACTGAATTATAGTGTACCATGCAGAAGTGGCAGCTATTTTAAATAAAACTTCAACGGATGTCAAAGGCTGTACAATGTATGTCACACAATTCCCTTGTAATAACTGTGCGAATAGAATAATATCATCCGGCATAAAAAAAATTATATATTGTGATATGAAGCGTGACCACGCGCATACTACAACAAGAATACAAGCCGCAAAAGAAATATTTGCTGCTAATGGCGTAACTTACACGTAAGTATAATTTTATTACTATTTTTTAATTGTACCTAACATCTTATATAAAATAACTCTTGATTTTTTTCAGAGAATGTACAACAATTTATAACAAGCTTGTTCCTAAAGCTTATAGTAGATATTCACGATTGACAAACGAGGAATGCTTCATGGGAATAGCGTATCTTTCTTCAAAACAAAGTAAAAATATGGAAAAAATCGGTGCATGCATTGTTAATAATAATAACGTCGTCGGCGTTGGATATAACAACCTCTCTAGGAAAATGGGTCAAATATCATTAAACTCTCTACAAAAAAACATTCCTGCTTCATACTTTAAAGGTATACTTTATGATAAACAATAACGTTATAACAATTTAAGACTTTGTACGTGTACAATGCAAGTTAAGTTTTAGTATAATATCATTTAATATGTATGTATATACATGAACAAAATGTTTTTTTACTTAACGTATTATTATAAATATACTTTCTTATAATTGCAGTATGTTACGCAGATTTTATAATTAATTCAATTCTAAGTACTTCATGTGATGTTAAAGACTGCACGATGTATGTTACTTCTTTTCCTTGCAATGAAAGTGCGAAAGTAATAGTGCAGTCTGGCATAAAAGCAGTAATGTACCTGCGTAAAAACACTAGTGATAAAACAGAAGCTGCAAAAAAAATGTTTGATGCTGATAATATAAAATACAGGTATTGTTATTTATAGAAATTCTACTGTTACTCATTTGTTAACTGCAAGAAAATAACTTTAATTTCTTATAATGGATTTTGTTTTTTTCAGACAATCTAATGTGGAGATTTCAAACATAGAAATTTTTAAAAGTAAAAATATTACAAACGTGAAAGCAGGAAAAGAAGTCATAAAACAAAAACAAGTAAAAAGAGAAAAAAAGATTACACATATTTTCGATATATGGCAGCAAATAATTTGTATTGTCGCATTTTTTCTTTTCGTGATATATGGTGATATATAGTGATATATGTCATTTGTTTTTTATATGTATACAATATATAATTTTATCTCAATCTTTTTTTTATTGAAACTTATGAAAATGTTTTTTTTAAGTGTATGTTAATATAATAATTGTATACTTAACAAGTTAATATCATACTTAGAAAGTATAAATGTATTAATTTTTGTTTTAAATGCAAATAATAAGTTAATACTATAAGTAATATATTTTAAACAATATATAATAATACTATAAGTAATATACTTTAAACAATATAAAATATGTTTGTTTTTCTCGGTCATATAGAAATTTATTTATTTAACTTATCCCTGCTTATTCTTTTCCTCTGAGTATTACAATTATTTTCTTTCTCCTGTTTGTCGCTTTTGGTCTAAAAGTTATTAGTTTGCAACATTATCATTTTTATAGTTTTATCTTTATGCTGTAGTTTCGTTTAGTGCACACTTATGGCTTTTCTTAGACTTATAAAATTTATCTAAATTTATATAACAGGCTGATTGTGAATACCACCGTTTTCTTTGACAATTGAGTGCTAGTAACTATACTAACCATTCGGTAAAACGCAGTCTTTCACAGTGGCGTATCAGGCACGTGCTCAAGTAACATGACTAACTGTAAGACCGCTTTTTGAGAGCGAGATTAATATAAAATTACACTTGAATTAATTATTGGAGACCCGATTCGGTTAATCTTTCAATCAATCAACTCGATTAAAAGAGACCGGCCTTAAAAAAATCCTTGAAGTTTTGAGCGGATTTGAACTCTAGAACTCTAAGATCTATCATGCTCGCAGCTCTTGCACTTAAGCCGCGAAACCACTATGCCACCTTCACTTTCAAGCGATAAATATGATACGTAAATACATAGACGTGATAAATGCATCTGTGTTGTATACACTGAGTATATTTTTACTGTCAAGGTCGTAGAAATGTAATACACTCCCCACCTTCCATATCATACAGCAATATAATCATTCTGACCGTGTAAGTCTTGTACGACAATGATGTTCGGAGACCTCTTTTTTTAATTAAAGAAGTTCATGGAGTTATGGACGTCTATTAGTCTGTATAAGATAAACTAAAGAAAAAAGGTAAAAAGAAGGTAAAGATAATTAGAGATATCTCAAAAGTTACTTCAAAAACCCGGATGACTGTGATTAAATGGTTGGCAAGTCTTTTGGGGATTCCCTGACGTCGACGTATAAATGCGTGTCGACAAGAATATATTCACAAAGCAGTTGTGGAAAGAGCTCTCAGTGCGACAGATACAAGTGTGCGTAGAAACTGTTATTTGGACATATTTATACAAAACTATTGTTGACTATATGATTATACCGTTTATAAGTGATGAGAATATTTTATATTAATCATTACTTTCTTTCTTATCGACGTTGTACATTTACTGTTATCATATTTGTTACAGTTGATGTGAAATTTGTGTATACTTAGCGATTTATTTTTCGTTAAACTATTACACTCTCCAGTTGTGACATTCGAATTTCTTAATCCAGAATGGAGTTACAACCAAAAGGAACAAGTTACGAAATGTAAGTAAAATTTTATAATATAACATTTGAACAATGTGTGTTTAAACTAAAGATACGTATACTCGGTAACTGTAATGTTTTTTTAGAGACAACTCGCCATACAATAATTCAGATGAATACTTTATGGGAATAGCAATTCTTCTTGAGAAACTATCCGAAAAAGGTTGCTATCCTGTGGGTGCGTGTATAGTTAATAGTGATCAAAGAATTGTCGGTACTGGATATAACACAGTACAAAAAGGATGGGATAAAGAAAAAGACATCAGACCACTTTTTTGTAATAACAAAATATATAAAACAATGCTCTATATTATGTAGAAATAGTATGTAGTAATAATATTCTTTTAACTGAATTATAGTGTACCATGCAGAAGTGGCAGCTATTTTAAATAAAACTTCAACGGATTTCAAAAACTGTACAATGTATGTTACACGGTTCCCTTGTAATAACTGTGCGAATAGAATAATATCATCCGGCTTAAAAAAAATAATATATTGTCATATGAAGCGTGACCACGAGTATACTACACCAAGAATACAAGCCGCAAAAGAAATATTTGATGCTAATGGCGTAACTTACACGTAAGTATAATTTTATTACTATTTTTTAATTGTACCTAACATCCTATATAAAATAACTCTTGATTTTTTTCAGAGAATGTACAACAATTTATGACAAGCTTGTTCCTGAAGCTTATTGTAGATTTTCACGATTGACAAACGAGGAATGTTTTATGGGAATAGCGCATCTTTCTTCAAAACAAAGTGGAAATGAGGAAAAAATTGGTGCATGCATTGTTAATAATCATAACGTTATTGTCGGCGTTGAATATAACAGCCTCTCTAGAAAAATGGATCAAATATCATTAAGCTCCCTACAAAAAAACATTCCTGCTTCATACTTTAATGGTATAATTTATGATAAACAATAACGTTATAACAATTGAAAACTTTGTACGAGTACAATGCAAGTTAATTTTTAGTACAATAACGTTTAATATATGTATGTATATGAACAAAATGATTTTTTACTTAACGTATTATAAATATTTTTGTTATTGCAGTATGTTACGCAGATTTTATAATTAATTTAATCCTAAGCACTTCATGTGATGTTAAAAACTGTACGATGTATGTCACTTCTTTTCCTTGCAATGAAAGTGCGAAAGTAATAGTACAGTCTGGCATAAAAACAGTAATATACTTGCGTAAAACTACTGATGATAAAACAAAAGCCGCGAAGAAAATGTTTGACGCTGATAAAGTAAAACATAGGTATTGTTATTTATAGAAATTCTACTGTTATATATATATATATATTCATTTTTGGACTGCAAGGAAATACGATAATTTTAATTTGTTATGATATATTGTGTTCCAGACAATTTGGTGTTAAGATTTCAAACATAGAAATTTTTCGAAGTGAAAGTACCACAGATTTGAATACAGTAATAGAATTGATGAAAAAATTACAAATACAAAAAGAAAATCAAGTAAAAGAAGATGGAAAGAAGATAAAGAAAAAAAAACAAACAAACCAAACAAAATCTACAAACAAAATTGAAAGTGGAAGTAAAGATTTGCATGCAACAACGGAAGTCAGTAAAAAAGTTCAAACAGGAACAAAACATCAAGAAAAAAGAGGAGAAAAGAAAGGAAAGAAAAACAGGAGTAAAAGTCAAACAAAATCTACAAACAACATTAAAAGTGGCATTCCTACAGGTTTTAATCTTTCAGCTACTACGAGTGAACATAATCGCTCGTCACAAACCTCTGTTCATATACTACGGGCAACTACAATCACTCAAGAAACGTTGTTCATATACTACGGGTAATATAGTCGCTCGCCATGAAACGATCTTCACATGCTATAAGCGATTATAACAGATACGCATTTGATGATTTATCAATGAATTCAAATGCATATGTGTTTTGTCCATATCATTTGATTAAGTTTTTGTTTTTATTACTAACTTAATGATAATCATATCCGTTTGGTAAATATGTGCTTATGATGTGAGATTTTATTTAGTATTGATATATTTTGACGACCAGTTCCGCCGAAACAGTTAATACAGCAATAGATAATATCATCAAAAAGTCAAACAAAAAAAGAATATCAAGAAAAAGAAAAGAAAAAAACCAAAACAAAAACTATAAGCAAGCAAACAATAAACTTTAAGTTCTGTTTTCAATTTATATAATGGAGAATATATAAAAGGTTATTCTAGTTTTAGCTTATGTATTTAATAAAAGATACACAAAAAATACACTTCTGTCGACACAGAGAATCTGAGAAAATGAAATAAAAATATATAATGTAAAATTAAGAAAGAATGTATTTTGTAATAGTATAAGTCTTTTAGCTATTTAACTTTTTATCTTTTTCTTAATGATTTTTCATGAAAAATAAAAATGTTAAACACTTATTTTAACAATAAAAATATTTATTAAAAACTGAAAAAGTAAGTTCAATTTACATTGCGTTTCAGATTTTAAGATAAAAAACTGGTAATAAAAATTAATTGTAAAACTAATCAATTGTAAAACAATTCCACTTTATTTCGGACAATATATATTCCAAAGAAAGAAAAAAATAGAAATTAATTAGTATAAAAAACAACACAAAAACAATAAATGAGAGAATTCAGATTAGAATCAAAATCGTGTCTTAATGATTGTGTTTTTATATATATTTTATTTAAACAATTTGTTATTTATAAGAACATATTATTCTGTTTTTGAACGCATGTGTTGTGTAATAATATAACTACTTAAAAACAAAACTTTAAATGTATTAATTGTTGGTTTTTGGGTACAAGTATAAAATTAATATACTTTAATAATAATATATAAAAAGTATTTGTTTAATTTATTTTGAAGTTTACCTTATCTCCTATACCTGCTTATCTCATTCTTCTTTTCTGAGAAAAAAAATCACTTTTTCTTTCTTCTTTGTTGCTTTCAGTTCCTACAAATTATCAGTTTACAACATTATCTTTATACTTTTTATATTTTTATAATTTTATTTTTATGCTCTTAAACAATAGTCATTGATGCATGGATACATAGACGTGATAAATGCACCTGTGCTGTGCACACTGAGTAAAGTCTCAGTGCTACCATCAAGATGTGAAAATATTTGTTACGTAAGATATTCTCTCAATTCCATATAATATTGTACATCATGTAGTAACATAATCATTCTGAATCTGAACTAATAATATTGCAATTTAAGTCTCGTATGATAACAATATTCGGAGACCTTTTGTTAACAGTTAACATACACAATGAGCATGTGTTACCATATTTAATCTGTATTTTTCTAATAAGCTGTAAAAAAAGAGATGGAGACAGTTTGAAATACTTCAAAAAGTACTGTTGAAAACGGATGAGTGAATAAACGGTTGGCAAATCTTTTAGGAATTCCCCGGCATAGACGTAAATACACGTCATACAGTGACACGTATTCACAACACGTTTGTACAAAGAGATAGTATTCGCGATACGACAGGAAGTGTTCACTTCTTGCTGCGGACGCTGTGTATTTTATCGTCACAAATCAACGGTTGTTACGAAATTTAACGACTTATTCAAAACATTATATCCTCCAATTGTGATCTTTGAAGCATTTAATTCACAATGTCAGAAACAAGCCTTGGATTGTAAGTAACATAGTATTAGTTAATATTTGCATGATCTGTTTTTACACTGTTAAAAATATATATGTTTGATAAATGAGCAAATGTTTTCTGTAGCAAAAGATTGACACGTATTACATGGAGTGAATATTTTATGGGAATAGCGTTTCTTTCTGCAAAACGATGTGAAGATCAAGACATGAACGGTGCATGTATTGTTAATAATGATAATATAATTGTTGGAATTGGATATAATACATTACCCGAGGGATGCGAAAATATGAAATCCAAAAAGGGAATAGGTACAAAAATGAGATTATATATAAAGTATAATATATGAAAAAATAATTGTGTGTATGTATAGTGTGTACATATACACACACCACTGTACATATGTTAAATAAGATGTTTGTATATAATTTAAAAACTATTTTATATAATACAATTTTTTTTTATTATAGCATGTCATGCAGAAGTTAATGCTATTAAAAATACGGATTTACGCAATGTTAAAGGATGTACAATGTATGTTACATCATTTCCTTGCAACAATTGTGCAAATGTGATAATTCAGTCTGGCATAAAAAAAATAATATATCTAGACGATAACTCTGGACACAAGGCAATAGCTGCAAAACATATGTTTGAATCTACTGGCGTAACTTACGTGTAAGTAGTTATTTATAATTATTTTGTTATTCTATAATTTATTTATCGTGAGCTAGAGAACATCTGTATACATATTTATTGTATCTAATCTTCGTGTATTTTTTTTAGACCATATAACACAAATTGTTATAAAAAGCCTATTGATCACACCAAAAAGAAGCAAATTAATTCAGAGGAATATTTTATGGGAATAGCGTATCTTTCTTCAAGACGCAGTAAAGAGGCAATGTTTGACATTGGCGCATGTATTGTTAATAAAGATGGAGTCGTTGTAGGCACTGGATATAATGGAATGCCTAGAGGAATGGATGAGATACCAAAGTTGAAAACAGGTCAATCGAGTCAATGTACTTCAAAGTTGTCTGGATTTTTTAAAGGTATGTAAAATTCGGTATACTTTGCAGTAAACAGTGACTGATGCTACAAAACTAATTGCAATTTATGTAATTATTTTAATGATTGTATATATAACAAGAATAATTAATGCATTATTAAAAACATTTAATATCTTTGCAGTATGCCACGCAGTAATAAATGCAGTTCTGAACAGAAATACAAACAATATTAAAGATTCTACACTTTATGTTACTACTTATCCTTGCATTGAATGTGCGAAAATAATACTACAATTTGGCATAACAAGACTAGTACATATGCCAATTAAACAAAATATTGATACACAAGTTGCAAAAGAACTACTTGAGACTGCAGCTATATCTATCCGGTATTGTTGTTTTTACATTAATCTTTAATGATATAAAATAGCAAGAAAATTTTATTTGTAAATTGTTTTTTGTAACTGTTTTATTATAATTTTTCAGTAAATACAATCTATCGAAAGAAATGGAAATTTATGAAGAGGCCTCCCAAACTTCAGAAACTACGAAAGATATAGCGACCGCAACAAATCAAGCATCAACAGCAAATAATCAAGTAGTAAAAATTGAGCATTTAATGATGAATCAAGCTATGAGAGAACAATTAATGAAGATGATACAAAGTCAAGGAGTAATTACAGAGTCAAATATGTAAGTATAAATTTTATATATATGTAATAAAAATTTAAATTTAAATTTATAATTCTCTATATAAGAAAATCATTAAAACATTCATCCTCTTTTTGATTAAAAGCATAAATAATTTGATAAAAACTCAAAATTATTTATGTTTTATTACAACTATATCATGGTATTATACACAATAAAACGATTTAGTTACTAGTCGTGTTCATCATGTATTTATTTTCTTATTTGATAAATTTTATAGATTGAAACTTTCCAAGTAATATTAATCATCATCAGATCACAACATGTGTGAATACAACTTATGCTCATATTGCTGAATATTGATTTTCTTGAGAGATCCAAACACTAATATTTACATACAAACTTCAATTAAAAGAATACGAATGTGCAGGTAAAGCAGACCTGCTATTCCTTCAAGTCTTTACAAATCTGATAAAAGGTTTTTTATATGTGGAGAGATGCAGAAAATAAATAAAACAATATACACAGAGAGTGAAACAACTGCAATAAGAGTAAGGATAGAATTAAGTATATAACACAATTGTTTTTTATGCGTTTTTACCTGCTATACAAATGTAAACATAATATTCTTATGGCATGATAGAAATATGTAACAATGTTTATTTGATTTATCTTTGTGTTAAGCAGAGTAGAGGGTAGATCAGTTTTACACGATATCATATTTCCATGGTAATGTCTAATAAAACAAAATGATATTAAACATAAAGATGTTTAATGTATATATATGCGAGTGTAATGTATTTTTTTTTATGTACATACTATACATTCGAATTCTCGGTTTCAATTAAAACGTTATTTTACTTCCTCTGTCAGTGAGTACAATGCGAGGAAAGTTAGAGACAATGATAACGTGATTACATTTACGGAATCTGAATTCATCACATAGAAGTTTTCTATGTTACAGAACATTGAGATTACACATCGGCACAGAATGCTGCACGTTTGTATATCGATGTATTTAGTCAGACCGGCGTATGTGAGTGTTTAGAACATTGTTAATTGAAGTGGAATGTTGACATTTTGTATATTTTGTGTCAATATTTTTCCACTTTTGATATTACATATTCGGTTTGCTACGATTGAAAGGTAGATTTATCACCTATGATTATATTATACTACATCATCTTGCCTTGCGAGACAAATTATTTCAAGATAGATTCCGATGATATGTTGACCGTGTTGTAACTTGTAAAGTAATATACATACAAAGTAACATTTGATCCAACAATGTTCGGATATCTGCGCACACAAACACACCGCGAAATATATAATTTAATAAGAAACATAAAAATATTTTAACCACGCTACTTGTTGATTGAAATTCGAGGGACAGACAGATCACATAAATTTTGAACAATTATTCTCTTTAATTCTGTGTGATGAATCCAATTTATATCCAGAAAAATAGAAGAAGACGGTCTCTAGAGAATAACTCAAGCTAGTTTCTCGTACAATATATTATATTAGGAATTAAAAGGCAAATCTAAATTCAAATCTCGACAAAATTTCAATTGCGATTTGTAATTAGCATACTTTATTTTTTTTTTTTCTATTTTTTTCCGACAAATTTGTGTCTATGCGCGGTCAGAAGTTTTCGTATATCGAGGTAATAATCTCCGGTAAAGATTGGAGCAACTAATATATGAACTTCTTTATTCCTTATATTTATACACGTGCGAGCGCATGTGGTTAAGAGTTCAGTACAACTCTCTCGTAGAAAATATAATCTAAGTGTAAAACAAGTTCATATAATCGACAGACGAACGGTCATGGATTCCAATTGCTTTCGATAAGAGCGATAGAGTTGTACGTATTATGTACTTCGTATTTTACGCCCTCTAGAACTCGAACGAATTTGTCAGTTTTACGCGCGTTCCCTTTCCATCAAATTCTATAATCAATTTCATTCCCTAGCAACAAAAGCGATCGTATTAAATAATTTGTTTTTTTTTTTATTTCAATTCGTATTTTGTTAGATTATTCCATCGATTCGACACTTTTTGCGTTAGTAACCGGTGTTACTTTGTGAGCGTGAAATTTTTTTAAGGAGGTAAATACATATTACAATACAATCAAACGTAGTAGGTATCTACTATATTATGATTACTGTTATGACTGTTGTGTGTGTGTGTATGTGTATGTATGTATGTATGTGAGTGTTTTGTGTATGTGTGTTGTTTGAGTACGTGATTATAACATTCAGACAATATCGATCGGCGGCAAACTCGTGTGTCGCTTACTCAAAGAAAGTGGTAAGACATATACACTTATTTGATATAGTAATTCGAAATATGTACAAACATTATTAGTAGTTCGGTAATATCTATGACATTTTGAAAAATTTTCTTTTACTGAGAGAGAAGAGAAGAGTAAACTCTGAGAACTTATATAAATATGTAGCGTTTATATTTTCGAAATTAAACGAGGTAATCATATAATATCCGTTGACTCTCGTAGCGGCAGGGCTTGAAACCTTTAATGCTTTATTAAAATTCCGCAACCCGTCGATGTGTATACATGTACGATGATATTCGCTATCACACGCTAACGGCTTTTCGATTTATGATATTACTTTGGTAGGTGGCGTATACAATACGCAGCTTATATCATTCCTATAGTAACTTTCACAGAGACTTTCGTAAACGGACACTTACTCCCTTACTGACTTGCTCTCGATGGAATATCAGGGCTCCAATCCAAACGTAGATCATTACCCTGGGCAAAAAAAAAACCACAAAAATACATAGGAATAAAATATATATTTAGGAAGAAAAAGCATTAGATCATTTTTTTTTTTTTTTTTTGTTCACTCGAATTAACAGTTCACGGGTGAGACGAACTGGAAATTAGTACGCGATGTGGGGAACGGAGTCCATCCAAATGCGGCGACGGACATGCACGGTACAGTATTCGGTGCTCGATGATCGTCTAGCATTTTGCGGCCTCTACATAGTAGAGTATTATGTAGGCATCGCTGGAAATTATACACCTTAACGTCGAGTAGAAATATTCGCATAAAGCGCACGTATGTATACAAGTCTTGTCTTTTTTTTTTTTTGTACCAATGTGTTAATCTCGCACGTCTTATTTTTATACACTGCACGTCCCGTACACAAAAACAGTCCGCACACTCGTCGACTATTTCCCTCTCACCCCGAACTATCCTATCTCGTCCCTCTCCGCGCGTTTAAGCGTCGCCGCCCACGGTAAGTAGACAAAGTGATCGCTCTCGATTGTTAACTAATATTTTAGCTACGTCATCTTATTTGTTTTTTTCTCTCTCCTTATTTCCGTAAAATACCGGACCGTGTCGAAATCGTAGGCGGTCCGCGTTTTTTTTTTTTTTTTTTTTGCATTATTTTAATTTATTAGGATTCTTTGTTCAGAGCACTGTCCCAACACTGTGTTCGCACACTATATGAAATCTCTCAAGGAACAGTTCGCGTATATAACACATGCTTCTCGCTCGAGATTAGTTATCTTGCCAATTTCATTTTCTCGTTTCTTTTATCTAAAGCGTGACTTGATTTAACGTCCTTTCGGCGCGGATCAGATCTTTCCGCGCCACCACGGCTACATCCATTGACTCGCCTAACTACGACAAGTGACTCGGCGACGCTGCAACAGCGCGTGCCTGGATCAGTTCTTGATTGAATTCTCCTTCTCCTGATGATTGTTGGCCTTCGTCTCGGGCGGCCGAAACGCGGTGGCAAATGGAAAACGCATGTGACACTTCGCCATGTAATCGGCTATCGTGTCGTCACAGTGTCCGAAATCGCCGTTGTGCAACGCCTCGAGCACCTTCGTGCAGTTTTGTAACGTCACACCTTCGAGCTCGCCGATGTTCGTCACGAGAGACAGCGCTTTCGTTTGCGCGGATGGATCCAGAATGTACAACATCCTGGCGCTCTGCAGCAAGTGCGGCAACGAGTTTCTGTTTTTCTTCAAGTACTCCGAGTTTAGTTGAGCCGCCTTCGTACTGGAGAAGATGTCAGCGGTCTGTCGTTTAACAACCTCGCCCACCGCTCCTTCCAGCGGCGACTTATTGATGTGCAGCAAAAATCGCACTAAACACGTATGCAGATCCGGATTGTTCGCGTCTAGTCTATGAGCGCGTTTTATCGAGCGTAGCATGAGAAGAGTGCGACCTGTAAAGAAAGTAAGACATTTACCATTTCACGTTTAATATATCAATCAATCCTTGCTAAATAACAAAATTCTAAAATATATACCTTTACGAATATATATCTCGAAAGCCATTAGATGCGTTTCTATTCTGTTCGACGCCAACTCCTGCAGGGGTTGCAAAAACTTGATTGCCTGTTCCAGCGGATCTTCAACCTGTAAAAAATACAGTTTTTCCGCATATATTTTAACGCGTTTTATTAACTTAATTATATATATAAATAATTGCCAAATTTTAAACCGCAAATCAATTCTAAGATTTAGTGGAAGATATTGTATCGCTCTCTCTCACGTATATTCGTACTAACCCTTTCCAGCTTTTCCGGAATCAATTCATCCAGCGTAGGCTGTTCAAGATCAGGGTCGTTCTGCTGTCGGGATTTATTATGCTGCTCCCTCTTTTCTTGAGCTTGAGCCGCTTGCTGTCGTTCCAGTTCGGCCTTTCTACGCTGTTTCCTCTGTTTGTTCCTCAATTTTTTCAACTCAGCGGGAGCCAGATTTTCTGTAATTGTTTAACAATATGTGTGAAAAATTTTGCGCGTCAATTTCACGCGCACTACATAGCAATAATTATCATCAAATAAAGCGAAGAAACAGACACTACAAAGTCTTGTGTGTGCGCTTACAGTTAATTTTTAATTTACGATTAAGAAAAAAATCTATGCACGTAAAATGAATTTTCCTCTTGTTCACACGATTGCTCAGTAGTGGATACGTAAATGCAAAACGTCATATCCTTCTTAATTTTTTTCCATTATTACGCAAGTATTTTCCTCTTTCTGTTTTTTCTTTTTTTTTCTCGAAGTGAGTGAGACCAGTTTCGACATGGCTTTCGTCGCTTTTGCAAATATCACTATGATCTCTTCGCGGCGGCAAGACTTTTGCTGACGCACTCGCCAAGGTTGCACCGTATATTTCGCGACAAGGGTGGTAATAAAATTATACGGTCCCCGGCCGGTTTCGCAGTCCTTTTCCCCACTTTTCCTCGCGTTCGGTCGCGGCCAGACCTACTGACAGTCGCGTTTAGTAGGTCTGGCATGCGTGCACGTGCCTCGCGTGCTCGCTGGTCACGTGTATGCCTGGCGGGTACCGTGGGACAACGGTGGCACAAGCAGATAGAAAGGAACGTGCGCGCCAAGCTCTGCGTAATCGCTCGCCGAAAACCGTAAATACATCTGTAAAACGTTCCGCGAAAACTGATTACCGAGGGAAATCGTAATACGCCCGGCTTTGTGCCAGCAATTGAGCAAAGCGGCGGTATAACGTAATGACAAGACACGAAGAAGCGTGAATCACTTATGTTGAACCGCGAGACACAACGCAAAATTCTGTGAATTTTGATTACAACAAATTTCAAACAATTGAAAACTCAATGTTTTACAAAAAAAAAACTATCTCAAGTTGTTTTCTACGCGATACAATAAATATGTAAACATATTAAATTGGAAAAATATAAAAAATATATATTTAAAAAATATTAAAAAAGTAAATATATATTGAAAAACAGAAAGAAAACTATCTCGAAATTAAACGCAATATTTAAAATATTTTTATGTTCAGCTTTTTAAGAATCAATATTATTGTAGTCATTGACCCTTCAGTGCCAGATACTTTAGTCACGTGTTGTGTTTTTCCTCTCCTCCCTGTCACGTGACTTTACTTTGTAGTCACGTTTTTAACCCTTCAGTGCCAGAAAAACGTTCCAAAAGATTCATTGTGAAATTGTTTTTAATTTTATAATTTTTAGAAGACACTTTTGTCCCTGTGAAAGTACGAACGAGTCTGTACAAAACTGCGTTAGAATTTTGTAAAACTGTTAATTAAACAAAAAGTTATGGATTTTTAAACAAAAAGCCTGTTTTTCAAAAAAGAAAAAAAACAGGCTTTGTCAGGTTTTTCTTTGAACCACAGTAATTCAAATATTTTTCGTATACTGTTGCGCGCCTTAATAGACTAACTCGATCAATGATCGCTATGCGAAAAAAACGAAAAACTAGGGCAAGGAGTTTCGATTGTTGCGTTAATCCTTGAGCATTTAATTTGCTCAGTGGGCATCAACGTTTTAATTACCGCGCGTATTAATTCGGCATCATAGCACGAAAATCGCGGAGCGCTTTCCAGTTACATAAGCACCCAGTCAATGCGTTATATTAGAACGCGGTAGAGAACTGCTGCTTATGCTATGCTCCGTAAATTCGCGAATGGCGTAGGCGTTACCTCAAAGAGGATTCACTCGATTCCTTGAAAGGCGGTTCTTACACAAGAATTATTTACGCGTTTATTCGTCGGTGCCCGTGTGCGATTCTAAATCATTGTATCATCGCACAATATTCCTCACCCGTTCATCATTCGAACAGAAAATGTACAAACGTAAAAATTATATACAACTGATATATAGACACCGTTCATTATCAATACGCTGTTGTGTTGTTTTTGTTTTCTCGGATATAACACACGCGTGTTTCCCTTTCTATAACACAGAGATAAACTCATCGATATCGTGCCGATAACAGAGGATTCGAGGAAACAGATTTTTCTATCAAACGCGCGACGATGAGTGCGCAATCGCGAAAACTCTTAATTGACAATCGGTAACGTAAAAGTTAACGACGAGAATTTTTCATCCTTGATGAAATGAAAGAGGAACTTGTGAATGTTGATACATAAACGCGCTCAGGAATGTGGAGCGCAACAAAGCGGCATGCAGCACGAGCGAACGTTTTATGCAAATTGCATCCCTCTGCGATCTCGCGTGTGTACATACGTAACATACGTGCGCGCGACTATGTGCGTTGGTCCGCGTCGGATTGCAGACCGTTAGAATCGCCTGAAGGGCGATGCTAAAATCCTCGATCGCGTCGTGCCGCGATCAATCAGATACTCGACCGAATCCGTCCGCAATTTTCCCGCAAAACTCGACTCGATCTCGGAATCGTCGCATTCCTATGCAAATGTGCACGGTGTTGTCTCTCTCGGATGTTACCTCGTTCGGTAACTTACGCGCAACGAATTTCACGTAATTCCAGTCACGCTAGAAAGCGCGATGCGATGCGATGCGCTTCGATTCAGCGACCGAATTACCGCTATGCCGCTGTGATTTATTCGCGGTGTAACGCTTCGACTTGTTGTCTTTTGTATAATACACGTACGTGCGTTCCGCGCGTTGCGCGAAATTAAATTGTTTCGCCTTCACAACTGTGTGCCCCCGGCCGCGCCTTTTAAACGCACCGTTATGCGTCTCGCAAGTAATTTTTACTCCCACACGCAATCGTTTAGACGCTCTACGTGGACATTCCGACGACTGCATTTGCCATTGGAAATTTATTTGTTTGATTTAGAAAGATAGCGGCGATTTAACCGCATTTCTCGCTGTCGATTAATTTTGACGTGAATGCGAAATTCTTTTTTTGAAAAGAAATGAAAATTGACAATTTTAAAAATTGCACAGTTTTTAACACTTATATTCTGACGAGAAGAAATAATCTTATTTAAAGAATTTTAGTTTCGAAATGTTTTTTTTTTTTTTTTTTAATTCTAACATTTAGATTGATATTTTTTCACGCTTAAAAAAATAATTGACTTTTTTTTGTCGCGCGGACGACAATCATGTCTTGAAATTCGAAAATTAATTACGCATCTTTTGAGAAGTCAAGCTCATTTGCATCATGGTAACACGCACCGCGAGTATCGAGTATATTTCTCCGGTGTGATATCTTCAAAATGATTTTTGATGTAATCGCAATCCTCCCTGTACGTAACTGCATGTTAGCCTATATAACGTCACGCCATGAACGAATGGATCCTGTTGAATTTATATCCATTCGGTATACGCGCGATGCGTGCGAACTTGTACGTTTTCACGTCGCGCGTTCAAGTAACGCGTGGACTCTATTTCTCCGTGCGAGTCTGTTTTTCCAATTGCAGTGTTTTTCCGATCCGCAATCGGTATCATCTCAGTGTGGGTGCTGAAACGAGTCGGCGGCGTTTTTTTTTTTTTTTTTTTTCCTAACAAAAGAACGATTTCCGAGCCGAGGTCGCGCGTGCGCGTAAGAGATATGCACCGGCTCCGCGCAACGAATTCACAGTCGGACTTTTTGCCGCGTAAAATAATTGTACGATTACGCAACGGTGGGCGAGAAATAACCGGGGGCGGCAAGGACAGCGCAGCGTTGGAAAAAGGATGCCAACGCTCGAAACTCCGTCATTAGAACTCAGAACAGAGAAAAAGCGCGCAAATGACATCTGCTTGCGAGACGCTGCCGGGTCTTCTAATTGAGCACGCAGCAACTTCGCAGAGGCACAATCGCAATTTTGCGAAACGAGTATCTTCTCCCGCGCTAAATCTCGCGGAGAAGACCTTCGTCTTTAGAATCGTCATTGGATTCGAATGATTCACCTCTAACGGAAGGCGATAATGATTTCGCTCGATAAACGCGGCGATGCAACCTGACAAAAGAAATTGCCATCGAGATAATTGCCATATCGTTAATCTTATATTGATTTTTGTTGTGCAACGCTGTGAAAACGGCAGAAAATAGAAGAGCCGAGTGTGCCGTGTATAGACGAATACAAATCGATAATTAATATCAAAATTACAATGCAAAAAAAAAAATATATCGTGAAAATACGGATACGGACACACATAAATCAAATGCTTCAGAGAAGCATCTAGTTTTTTAAATTAATTCTCGGTACATTCGTACGAAGTTTCATAAATTGTTCACAAGCGGAAGAGATCGGGAATACGCTTCACGCATGGTCAACGAGCAGATGGTATTGTATGTTATGCTACGCCTTGATAGATACGCAGCAGCGTTCTTTAAGGAAGTTGAAGCTCGCGAACAGAAATTCAACGAGTGCATCCGAGAAACCGTTTTCGCCGAGTCGTGACATGTGCGAATCGTGCCAATTTATATATCGTCGTAAAAAAAAAAAAAGAAAGAAATATGTATACGCAGTCCGCAGTTCCGCGTTTGTAGTTTCATCGCGTGATATTGCGGTGAGACCGCTTGTAAAAAAAAAAAATTCCGTTACCATCCGTTTGCGCGCGCATTACACATTCCACCGTACGTATCGAGTATATGCGCACGAAAGAAACAAAACTAATTAACGATCGATTAATTACGCTGCGCGAATATGTATGCACTGGATTACTTTGTATCCGAGAGCGAAATCCAGTTCCTTTAAACCGAGTGAATGACGGCGCGTGTGCAATACGCGATAAATCATAACAATCATTCGAACTAGATCTCCGATCACTCAGGTTGCTTTTAGATCACCTAATTGGCGAAGTGCATAATAATTTTTTGTACCGTACGACAACTGAGCGCGAGCAATTCGCTTATACAGTTATGCGGATATTTTACGCTAAATCGATAATATTAAAGTAGCTGCCTATATCTAGTAATAGCGGCAATTGCACAAAGAAGAGGTCATTATTGTAACCGTTTCAGCCTCTCTCGGCGATTAGTCGTCGTCATCGTTCTCCTCCTTCTTCCTTCT